AGTTATATGAATACTTTCCGGATGCATTGTACAGTTGAACATAGCTTACCATTAGTAGTCACCCTGCATAGTCACATTAATATACCAAACTTTGCTGAAAATAAGACTTCTGGACAGAGTGAAGTGTGTATTTATTGCAAATGTCACACAACTGTTTTTCATTGTTAGATTTTTAGACTCACATTGAAAGATCTGGACTCCTTTGCAGCTTTAATTGACTAGGGTATGACTGACATTTAGGTACTGTTTACTCTACTCCACTTACCTTTTAAAATGGCATTTTAAGAAATACCAGACTGGTGTTTTTATTATGTTAAAGAAAAATTATATATACAGCCTAAAACGCATCATACAAGACAATTCAATTCATGCTCACTATGCATGAATGTATTTTGCTGGCATCCATACTCTACCGCTTGTGTAATGTACATATGACAGAGGCTTTACAAATCGGAGAAAAAAATATGCAATAGTATTCCAGATATACTTCTGAAAACCCAGCATATAGCTGATTATTTTAAGCCCTAATCATCAGTTGTGAACATGACAGCTTTCTTCTTCGATATGAAGGGGTTTGCTGTCACGACAGATTTGTTTCTAGGCAGACCATTAAAGAATGAGACACTTGTTTAAAAGAAATCCGGTAAAATTTATCCAATTAGATGATGATTTCAAAACTCCTGAAGCGTTTCCAAATTTGTGTGCCATACAGTATTCATCAGATGTTCAACTAACAGTCTGTGGGCTGAGAGCTCTCAGAGATCAATGAATCATTTACTGTATATTTAAATGCATGCATATCTATTTTTATTAAATGTGAAGGTCCAACTTTCAAATATCTGTGGTTAATAGAATCTTTATATAAAAAAGACAGCATGAAATTGCATTCCCAAGGATTCAATGTAACAGTTAGCATGAAATAATGTGTTTATTCATTTCCATTTGGCTCGATCGTTTATAATATTAGGGTCTTATTAATCCATTAATCCATGGTTCTTTATAAATCCATGTTTGAAATTTAGAGTTTTATTGTATATACATCTTCACTTGTATTAACACTGATTTTTAAACCCCATGATTAATTTTTTTACGATTTTAGACCTATTTGATGCAAAAATAATCTCCAGCCTGTATACCTTTTCAATTAAAAATTCTGTCGTTTTGATCTAAAAATTCAAACAATAAAATTCTGGTTTGATGTCCTTTGGTGTGAGAGATCGCCATGTAAAAACCACAATTCAAAGTGAGCGAATACTAGCATACCTTCCTCTAATTAATAGGTAAAGGTGCTGTATGTAAGTTTTTGACTCTTCTAAATCATAAAAACACCATAATATGTTTGCAGATATTTAAGACATGCTAAGTGAACATTCTTGTTAATCTGAAAAACAATGCTAAAGTCAGATATTTTGCTTTGAAAATGTGCATTCAGTGCCGAAAAGGTGTCTTTGTTTTGATTCTTTTAACCCGCCCACTACTAGTTTAGCCAATTATATTTCAGCACCCCGGATTGCCTTGTTGGAAAACCATGTATTACATTCATTCAGTCAGAAAGACTCTCAAAGCATTAGCCTGTAACCAAAATGCTCCGGTGGACAGTACCAGACTCCAAAATGAGATGCAGATTCAAATTTCCACATGAGGTTACTAATTAGCAAATAATATAAATATTACGAGTGTAAAAATTAGGTGAGCAGGTTACATTGTAACCCGATGTCCTAACAATACACAATACGTGACGAGATTTGCAGCGATTTGGCTTTTTTTCACCAAACGAAACAAGACAAAAAATTAAATACAGCCATTCAAAAGCACAGAATATGCACTCACTCATGAAATGAAAAGACTTATAATCTAATTAATACATATTAAACCTCTTTAGCATTATTCTTTGTAGATGCTGAATCACTGATATGTGTTGGTTTTGAGTCTAAAGTTCAATTTCAAAAGGTTTATTTTATTTTCAAGATCTAAGGTAATCTATCTGCTGCTTTTAGTAATATGGCAATAAATGGCATTATAGTCAGGCTCGCTTCTGCTGTTCCTCAATCTGGCAACCTGCGCTTGTGTGTTTTGATCCAGCAATGCAATACCTAGCTCAACCACTGGGTGCCAAACTTACATTTAGGGCTCTATTTTAATGATCTAGGCGCAAAGTCGTCCGAATCCACTTTTGCTATTTTAAGGACTTATTCCGTGTGGTCAAAAATTGAGTTGTATATCCAAACACATATGCTATGCCCCATATGGTCCAAAATCTGAAAGGTGGACAAATCTAAGCTTGTTATAATTAAAAAAACATAAATAAAAATAAAAAGTATAAATAATACTGCTAATAATAATTACATTTTACAAAATGCAAATTGTCATAAATAAACTGAAAAAAGACACCAGAGATGAAGAAGGAATGGAGGCGGTGGTTTTTTATATTTATGTAGAAAATAACAATTTCTTTTTCATTTGTAAATATATTTGTGTATTGCTGTACATTCTGTGTGTATTAAGCAATGTGTAAGCGTTTAAGGCGCACAACTAACGAGCTTTGCGCTGGACTTTAGTCCTGCTTTCAGCTGGTCTATTGCACAGTCTACTTTAGTTCTTCAAAATAGCCCTACGTCAACAACGCACCTTCACACACCTCTCTTCTAGACCGACACACCCATGAGTCCACAAAGTAGCGCAAATGGATTTGCTATTTAAACAATGCAGCGCAAAGTGGGAAAATTACTGTTGTGCTGGTCTGAAAATAGAAACACATCGCAGCAAACACGTCTTGCACTGGGTGTATGATAGGGGCCTTAAACTTGCACCTTTAAAGCACACAAAAAATAAAAACATCTCATCTCACAAACATTATACTGGCAAGTTTTTGGCCTATATCTGAAAGGTCTTCATTTTCATTCACGTTACAGCAGCCGGCAACTTTGCACAAGTAAAAAACAGTCCCGGAACATACAAATATTTTTTCCTCAGTGAACAAAATGTGATGCAAATGGAATCTTCCATAAATACATATTGACAGCACAAATGAACTGCTGAAGTGTGTGATTTTGCCAACTCTACTTATACTTCCCTTCTCAAAATCAACCATACCTCGCTAATCCCAAACCTTCCGAGCCATTTTAATTGCACTTATTTATGAGCTCCAAAATCAACATGTGTTGGATAATCTTACCACACACGCCCGAAAACGTGTTTACACAGCGCTACTGTCTCTCCCACAGATGGCTTCTTTGATTTAAAGGTTGCTCCTCTCTCAGAGATATCAAAGGCAACAGTGTCTAGTCTGCAGAATTGCTGATTTCTTCAGAAGTGCGGAGACATCCCTCTCGGATTCCCTCGCTCTTAACCTCCCTCCCACTGACGCTGACAGAACAGCAAGACTAAGCACACCGAGACATGACCAATCTGTTGACTCTCCTGTCATGGAAAATGTCTTTTACCGAAGGCCCCTGCTGTTCGGGGAGGGCCGGTGAACAAGTGTTAACTTTGGTCCCGAGTGAGCAACTCTGTCTGCTGTGGGTAAATTTAGGCTGACTGTGTCAAGTTCCTGTTTCTGTTAGTCTCTTAAAAGTCAAAATGATATAGGATTTACACTTCTATAATGCAATGTTTTTCCAAGATTTACAGAGAACAGGAACTGAGGAAGGGGACTAGATTTTAGATAAGACTAGATAGATAGATAATACAAAACTTGATTATTTATATAATTTTATACTACATTTAATACTAATCCATATTTTAACGTTTTAGTTAAAATTTCTGTTAAAATGTATTAAACTAAATAAATAGTAATAAACAGGATTTATTTATAGTATTTATTATCATTTGTTAAGGTTAGTTAATGAAAATGCTATTTTTTTAATTTCCAAAATGTACACTCACTGGCCACTTTATTAGGTACACCTTACTATTACCGGGTTGGAGCCCCTTTTGCCTTCAGAACTGCCTTAATCCTTTGTGTCATAGAAAACAAGCAACAGGAAATATTCCTCAAAGATTTTGGTCAATATTGACAGGATAGCATCACACAGTTGCTGCAGATTTGTCGGCTGCATATCAATGATGTGAATCTCCGTTTCCACTGCCACTTACTGGATAATTTCTCTTTTTCGGTTAATTCTCAGTAAACACTAGAGATGTGTGAAAATCCCAGTAAATCATCAGTTTCTGAAATACTCACACCAGCCCATCTGGCACCAACAACCATGCCGCATTCAAAGTAAATCACCTTGAATCACCTTTATTCTCCATTCTGATGCTCGTTTTGAACTGCAGCAGATCGTCTTGACCATGTCTACATGCCTAAACGCATTGAGTTGCTGCAGTGTGATTGGCTGATTAGAAATTTGTGTTAATGAGCAGTTGGACAGCTGTACCTAATAAAGTGGCCGCTGAATATTAACTAACATTAAATGTTTGTGGCTCACAAATGTTACTTTTGATCTTCAATATTTATTAGTAAATGCTGAGATTTAGATTTAGAATAATAAATGCTGACATACCCTCGATTATTTACAATACCTTTGTGAGGAAAAAAAAGACAAAGCTAAAAGTGAAGTTCATTTTTAAAAATCTCCAAAGTTCAACGTTTTTATCCTGTTAAACAAAAAAAACTAGCTATTTTCAGAAAGATTGCATGTACCATAGGTTTAAAGCAATGTTTTAAAAAGTTATTGGATATTAAAAATGTAAAGACCACAAAGATCAGACACATGCATCAACAAATCAAGACAGACTTCATGTTGGTTTCAAGCGATGTACAAAAGTTCATCTCATAGTTCGAAGAAACCTGCTTCCACAGATGTAAGAAATTGAAAGAGATCTGCTTGCTCTCATTGTAAGGGCAGCAGGGATCCTCGTAATGAGGTGGAAGCACTGCAGGGTTTATAGGGTGAGGGACAGGTCACGCATTTAGTCTTGACCCTCAACCCCATACTTTGGTGGCTTGGAAATGGCTAAGAAGTCTGGAAAATAAAGAAAGACGGACAGAACTCACCAGCCTGAAAAATGCATGCTGCGTCTTTCACTGCTAATGTGACCAGGGAAAAGTGCCGATAGAGCGGGTAACACAAAGTCCTCCTGCCGAAAGACACCAGCACGTCTTGCACTGAGTGGTATGTCTGAAACACACAAAAAATAAATACACATTAGGATTTCATGTTTTATGTGCACTATTTTTATACGTAATGATTTTTATACTACACAGGCCATATTTTTCCTCCTCTAAAACTCTCACAGAAACTATTTTGCAGTTTTATATTTCCAGAACACTTCATTCTGTATGACTAATGAGCCGTTTCCTTCATAGGGACAAGTAAAAATACAAATTAGGGCTGCCTGATATTGGAAAAAAAAAACTTACATAGCAATATTAAAATTTTTAGCGATTTATATTGCATTTTTTCCACAAAATAACTTAATTAATTTTCAGTTGATTGGGATGATTTTGTAAGGGAGTGCATAAAATATATATAATGAACAAATTACAGGGAGATATATACAAATTAGAGCAAATATAGGAATGAAGGAGTCTAAAAATATACAAGTACAGAAATAAAATAAATGTACAATAAAGCTGTATATTCTTCATTGTGTAAATAATTAAATACAATTAATTTTTGCTAATCTCCCTGTGTTTGCGTGGGTTTCCTCGGGGTGCTCCGGTTTCTCCCACAGTCCAAAGACATGCGGTACAGGTGAATTGGGTAGGCTAAATTGTCCGTAGTGTACGAGTGTGAATGAGTGTGTGTGGATGTTTCCCAGAGATGGGTTGCAGCTGGAACAGCATCCACTGCGCAGAATGTGCTGGATAAGTTGGCTTTATTCCGCTGTGGCGACCCCGGATTGATAGAGGGACTAAGCCGAAAATGAATGAATGATTGAATGAATAATCTTTGTTAAAGCTAAAACGTCATAATTCCTTGTGCCCAAATGCTTTAAACTGGCTTAAAATGTTTACACAGGCCTTAAAAAACACGAGCAACTATTAAACTTTGACTTTATTGTGGCTAAACTGAGGCCCCATTTACACTAAGACGTTTTAATTTTGAAATGCATGAGTTTTGATATGGTTCTTCTTTAGTAAAAGAAATTAAATGCACAAAGTTCAGTCTTGCGCCCTTTTCTTTAAGTTCAGACTTCGCAAGTTTGATATAAAAACAAACGTCTGAAGACACATCAGAAAAATCTTGAAAGGAAACAATGTACTTTATAAAGCCATTCACATCACCCTGGCTACGTTGTTTCACTAGCTTAACAATAAAATGAAAACATGATATATAATGAACTTCCTGTTTTCATTTTGGTATTAACAAGTAAAAGACACTAAAAATGTTGAGGCGTCATGTAGCTACATATTTATATGACCGTCATCTTCACTGTATGCATATTTATAACAAAACAAAGCCTATAACATAACTGCATCCTTCCATTTTTATTAAAGAATATGAAACATTCCCTCTCTTTTGCTGAATATAATATTTGCTGTGATGGCGACACAGTGGTTCAGTGGTTAACACTGTCGCCTCACAACAAAGAGGTCGCTGGTTCAAGTCCCGGCTGGACCAGTTGGCATTTCTCTGTGGAGTTTGCATGTTCTCCCTATGTTTGCGTGGGTTTCCTCAACAGTAAACATGACCTATAGGGGAATTTGGTAAAATAAATGGTCTGTAGCGTAGGAGTGTGTATAGTTGTTTCCCATTACTGGGTTGCGGCTGGAAAGGGCATACGCTTCCTAAAACATACGCCAGAATAGTTGGCGGTTCATTCCGCTGTGGCGATTTCTGAAATAGAGACTAAGCTGAAAGAAAATGAACGAATTAATGACTTTCAATGCATGTAATAGACTATTAGAAATTCCATGATATTACCAAAATTACATGAACCGTAGGAACCCTGAAACAAAATGACTGTTGTTATTACTATTATTGATGAATTTCAACCATTTGGTCCTCATTACATAGTAAGTACCACACACACATGCACACACACCCCGCTCCAGATCTGTCTATGCATATTACATCAATCATTTTTTAACTCCACTGGTAATTACAGCAATTTGCTCTAATTATTCCCAACGACTTCTCGTTTTATTAGCAGGGTAAATAGTAGGTCAACTTTTAAACACCTTGGCAAACGGCGTGTTTAATTGTAGGCAGCGTATAATCATTCGCCTCGGCGTTCCTCGCAGTCTAAGCATCCACAGACAAGTGCTTTGGGGGCAAAAACACATGTCTTTTTTTCTCTCTCTCCCTTTTCTCTTGGCGTTTTCCAGCCTCCCACTCTCCGCTATTCTCTCAGCAGCTTGTTAAGAAATGCACTCGGAGTCATTCTAGCATGTCATCGTAGCTCATGCACTCCCCCAGGCTATTAAACACTGGTGTAAATAAGCCTGCTAAGGGGGGGGGAGGCTCACGGAAACATTGCCGACCGAGGCTTTACAGTGCTTAGGCAAAACAGAGGGTGGGAGAGAGGAAGAGAAATGAGGGAGATTGAGAGGGAGAGACAATAATAGGGTGTTGAGGAGAAACCACATTAGCATTTCCTGAAGGAAATGCCAGGGCTTGTAAGATAGCTGAAGAATAGCGTTCAAGTTTGAGGACGCTTCAGTTTCAGGTCTTTGTTCTGGAAATGTAATGCCTCAACGGTGGCGTCTATTGGCTGCGCATGAGAATCATCACATAATGCAACACTATCTTTTGCTTTAGATGATTCAGTAGATGTAAAAATGAAACATAATGGGCAAGTAAGTATACCACTAACTGTGAGGAAAAGTACCAATCAGAATTTGTTATCATTTTGTCATCATTTACTCTTTTAGGAGAGACAGATTAGTTGAGAATGAATGATAAAGCCTGAATTTGTGAGCTGGAACAAACAGTTCACTAAAAAAAACATTCACTTATAAGACTTTTAACCAGAAAAACATATTTGCTGGAGGGCAAAATTAACTAAACTACTGACAGGAATTAGGAAGACAGATTTGTGAACGAACAATTCAGTCTGGTTTGATAATGTGGTTTCATGAACTAGACTAACCAATTAGGCAGTGTTGGGGGTAACACATTACAAGTACTTTTTATTTAAGTAATGAGCTCTTCAAAAAATAAATTACTGAATTAAAATTAAAGTAGTCAAAATGAATCACGCAGTCAATGAGAGAATGTGTTTATTGTGAACGCATCAAAGAAAATGAAAAGTGGATTAATTGTCTCAATGGACAGTGATTTTACTTAAGAAAAATAGCACAAAAGTAGCAAACAAATTGCTTTAAACTTTCAATAATCTGTATCCAAGGCTTGTAGAGCTTTGGGGTCAGAGTGTTCTCAGACAACATTATCCTAAAATATTTTTTGATGTATTTTTTGCAGGGTTTCTGCAGGTTTTAGCAAGCTAAACTTAAGACCTTTAAAAACATTTTAAAATGGCAGCTAGCTCACTGCAACTCTTACAAGGTTGGTCACTGAAACCAAGCAGGAATGCACCCGGTCAGTACCTGGATGGGAGACCACATGAGAAAGCTAGGTTGCTGCCGGAAATAGAGTGAGTGAGGCCGACAGGGGGCCTAATGCCCCAGTATAGTGACGAGGACTCTATACTGCTCAAACGAGATGTTAAACTGAGTTCCTTACACTCTGTGATCATTAGAAATCGCAGGATGTTCATCAAAAAAAAAAAAAAAAAAAAAAAAAGTAGGGGTTTGGCATCCTGGCCAAAATTTGCCCACTGCCAGCACTCTGTCCATCATGGGCTCCGAACCCTCCCCATATCGTAATTGGTTTCATCCCTCTATCTCCTCTCCACCAATAAGCTGGTATGTGGTCTGGCGCAATATAGCTGCTGTCACATCATCCAGGTGGATGCTACACACTGGTGGTGGATGAGGAGATTCCCCCATTGTATAAAAGTGCTTTGAGTATCTAGAAAAGTGCTATGTAAATGTAAGGAATTATTAAGACCATTATGAATGAACTTTTAGACTCATACAGGGCTAATTGCTAGGGAGTTTTATTTTTTCAATGGCCCAGTCGGAAAATATTTTTATTTTCCTAATCAAACTTTTGTATATAATTTAATAAATGTAATAATACAATAATAATAATAAAAAAAATGTAAGATATATATTTATTTTAATTCTGAGGAAAGTATTTTAAATAGTCAAAACAAGCGAGCTCGAGTTGTAAACATAATTTTTTTAACATAGCCTTTCTTAAAAGTATAAAAAATAAATAAATAAAAAAATTCAAGGTTTTACAAATTATAATAAACTAAATGTAGTGGTAAATGTAGATAAGTAAACCAATATGGTTAACAGAGTGAAAAATGACATTAAGTAAAAAAGTAAAAAAATGTATGGGTGTTGGCCAGATCGGGTAGCTATACATGAACAAAGAAAAATTCGACCTGTTTAAAAAAGATTTAAGACCTACAACAAAATTTTTCAGTAAATGTAAGACTTTTTTAAAGCCTAAAATTTTGTTTTTGAGATTTAAGACACTTTAAGACTTTTTAAGACCCCGCGGAGACCCTGTTTTAAAGGTAAATGTAGGTTATACGTGCATTGTCATTGGCAAAGCTCCACCAATAAAGACAGAAAGAAAGAAAAAAAAAGTTCTGAAAGAGATAAAGCCTCAGCCTGGTAATAAAAAGTACCACACAAGTAACTTAAAAGTAACGTAACACATTATTTACCATAAAAAGAAATTAAGTAACACAATTAGTTACTTTTTTGGGGAGTAACTCAATATTGTAATGCATTACTTTCAAAAGTAACTTTCCCAACACGGCAATTAGGTGATAGGATACATGCAAAAGAATACACCTAATACCTTTATCAAGAAAAAACTTTTTATGCTGTCATTTTGTCTTGACCATTCACCCAAATTTCTGACAAAAACCAAAAATTTAACAATTAATTCAGCTCAATTTATGAGCTAGATCAACCAATTCATCCAAAATTGCAGATTGCTAATCTCCAACTCTCAAAAAGAACAAGGTCAGATGTCAAGATTGAGTGAATACTCATTTGAGAGAAAAATAACAAAAAAAAGGCTTTTATCTAAATGTTATGAACCACATTATAACAGCTAAACTATTAATATCCTAAATGATCCACACATCA